CATGGACAAAATAAATGTAAGATGATAAAATGGTTTACGGCCTCAGTGGCGTTTGTTGTACATACCGAGAAGATACAAAGTATGATGGCTTTGGACTGAAAATTCTTTGTCCCGTGTGGGTTGCTTTCGGGCTAATTCCTGTTAATGTCATGCATGGTTAGTTGACGTCCATTTCATCTGTCTTTTGGAGATTTATTTTATCAATAAAGGTGATAATATGCCTCTGAAGATAGTTAGTATCATTTATACGAATTGTCTATTGACGGACACATTTAACAAAGGGTGTTTATGTGCTGAACAATCACATATTTTATTTATCCAATAACCACATGATCGATTTTTTTTTAAAGGATATCGGGTTGAAGGACTTCTTGGAGATGCAAAGACCTGCCAGGATTTGAATATGTCTAAAACATTCAATTTGTGTCAGGGCTGTGTTACATTTTATTAGTATTGTCCTTTCGGAGATCACTTATTGATACCGAGTTTAAAACAATCAAACCCAGGATGTTGACTTAAGATGATCGCCTGCTTGTGCGTGAAAGTTAAATTAGTGTGCCTAAATTGATACCTACTGTATAAAACGTGTTGAGGCCTCCAGTGCCCTAATCAGCATAACGGAGTTGGAAGGGACCTTGGAGGTCTTCTAGTCCAACCCCCTGCCTAGGCAGGAAACCCTACACCACTTCAGACAAATGGCTGTCCAAAGTCCTTTTAAAAACTTCCAGTGTTGGAGAATTCACAACTTCTAGAGGAAATTGTTCCAACGATTAATTGTTCCGTCAGGAAATTTCTTCTTACTTCTTGGTTGGTCCTCTCCACGATTTGTTTTCATCCATGGCTTCTTGTCCTGCCTTTCAGGTGCTTTGGGGAATAGATTGACACCCACCCTCTTCTTGGGGGCAGCTCCTGAGATATTGGAAGACGGCTATCGTGTGCCCCCCCCCCCCGGTCCTTTTCGTTAAACTAGACGTACCCAGTTCCTGCAGCTGTTCCTCATGTGTTTTGGCTTTCAGTACCCTAATTATCTTTGTTGCTCTTCTCCGCACTCTTTCTAGTAAACAACCTTCAGCAACAGCTTCCATGAAATTTGGTTAGATCTCATCTGAAGGGCTTATTTCCAAAGACTTCCAATTCTGCAAGAGGTGTAGGGAAAAGAGAGCGAAAGGCTAGCTCAAAACTGAAATCGGCGTTCTCCGCATGAACCAGGAGCTGGATAGGTTTTTCCTATGATCCTTGATACCATCTGGTGGTTTCAATCCAGATGCAGAAGAACAAAATCGTAACCTAGAACCCTTTCTGAAAGCCACGAGTCAACTTCCTTCCCAGTTAAGTAGGATTATCCTGTCTCCCACATCCCAAGTCAACAGAACCAAAGCGCTTCATGAGATGGTATGAAACTCCCATATTTTAGGAGCATAATTCAGCCCCACGTTGAGGTCTTTGAATATAATATTTCTTTCTAAATATATTTTGAAAGCAAAAGAGGCTTGCTGCATTACTTACGGCCTCAATGTAGTTGAAGCAGTCGCAGAAAATCAGTTCTCATCGTAGCCCATGCTAAGGTATCCCCAAAATGTTCATGGATTGATTTAGTCATCCTTATCTAGCTCTCTGTTACACAGTAAAAGGAAACGCTCAACTCATTGCTTTTAACAACCATCTGCTCTTTATACCGTTACTGTTTCCAATATCCACTGTCAGGAATCTTTTTTCCCCCTTAATTCCAGGTTGGACCTCTGCTTAATAAGTTTCCATCTATTACTTTTTTATCCTGCCCTCAGGTGCTCTGGCGAGTAAGTTGACCCCCTTTTTCTCTGTGACAGCTCCTCAATTACAGGAAGATTATCACTCCTAATCCTTCTCTTCACTAGACGAGACATACTTTTCACTATCTAGGCATGTACATTGTTCAGGAGAAGAAAAATGCTCACGGGGAAGGGGGAAGTAGGGGAGGAAAGTTCCATTTCCCCTGCAATTATTTTTGGGTGCTCCTGCAAAGGGGAGACCACAAAGTTGCATTTCTGGAACATTGGCGCCATCTAGTGGTGGATTCTAATAGCAACCATTGTCCTGCAAAAAAGATGGCACCTTTTTTTTGGCGCACTGCAAAGATGAATGTTTGGGCCATATTGCAATGCAGGGGTCCCCAAACTTGGCCGCTTTAAGACTTGTGGACTTCCACTCCCAGAATTCTCCAGCCAGTTCTGGGAGGTGAAGTCCACGGGTCTTAAAGTTCCCAAGTTTGGAGACCTCTGTTGTGTGTTCTTGTTCTCCCTGTTTACGTCAACGTTCTCACTTGCTTGGAGTGGCTGCTCCCATCGTTGTTTCTTCTTAGGGAAGGGCTGCAAAAAGGACAACTTTAGATTCTCCTTTTCGTATCATTTGGCGGGTAAGGCTAAGTCAGATAACAGTGGAAAAGTGGAATCCAGTGTTCCTCTTCCTTCTAGCCCCTTTTATTATTTTGCATTTTTTTCACAGCTTTCAATTTCTGAAAATCATTTCCATAACTGACAAGAAGGAATGATAAAAAGTTAGCAAAGGGAGCACCGGCTCATCCATCACGGCTCTATCTTGTTCCAACTCATTTTGCGTGTCCAGATAAATATTTTCGGGGTATTTTTTTTAAAAAAATGGAAGGAGCGGGGAAGATTTCATACTACGTACTTAGCGTCAAAAGCATAAACCAATTTTATGAGCTTTTATGGGAATCGCTTTCACAATGTGGCCTTACAGGCACCGGACCCCAAATCAATCAATACTCAAAATGGGTGCAGACTGTGGAACGGAGCTTCAGCTGGCTGGAGAAATCTGGGAGTTGGAGGTCCACAAGTCTTAAAGTTGCCAAGTTTGGAGACCTCTGAGCTAGGAGAAAAGTGCCACTCAGAGTTACAGGGGCACTGAAAAAAGTGACTTATGAGTTTTATAACCCCTAGGACTGTTGCAACACCCCCAGTCGCATGATCAAAATTGACATGGATTTATGAGGCAATGTCCCGGGGTCATCACCTTTGCAACCTATTAATAGTCAATGATGAAGCCATATTCACCTAACAAATTTAACAACTGCAGTGATTCACTGAACAACTGTGGCAGGGAAGGGCATACAACGGGGCAAAGCTCATTTTAACAACTGTCTTGCTTAGGAACAGCAATTCAGGCCACAATTGTGGTTATGTCACGGGCTGCCACCTGTACCTACACCTCCACAAGGCCAGCTCTGTTGTGGCCTTGGGGAATTTATTTTTTTCAAACACCTTGTTTCAATATTACTAGTGGATTACTTATCACCGTTGTCTGAATGAGAAAAAGGGCTTTGTTTCCGCTAGCTGACACCGGAGTCAATCGCAAGGCAAAATGGTTCAAACCTATATAAAGAAAAAAAGGAACAAACACACACCCCAATTTCCCTGTAGATGCATGTGAAGAACCGCTGAGCTGAACTTGGGGAGAAAATGCAAAGGCCATTAGCCAAGCATGAATTAAGCCCAGGGAGTTAAGGTAACATGAGAAAGGAAGCTAAATACAGGATATGGCTAAACAAAAGCCGGTTGTGGTTTGAGGTTGTTTTTGCTGGGGTTCTCTCAAATTAAGCTTTTCATACAGTTCTAGGTCAAAAGGTAGAGTGGCTGAAAATATGAGATGTAGGCTTCTAGTTGAACAACCACATAGCATCTACACAAGTGGTAAGGCAGCCAAGCAGGAGACTTTGATCCAAATTAGCTTTGAACTCAACGTTTTCTCACCCCCCCCACTTCTTATAAATTAGTTCTATGCAACCAAAATGAGACTTTTTCTGTGTGTGTGTGTGTGTGTGCATAAACAACTTTAGCTGGCATTTTGTCAGGAAGGCCTATGAAGAGACAGTCTCCTGAGGCGGTATAAAAATAAACACATGCCATTTGACCCAATTAAACCTTGGTATTTCCCATGTTGTTTTTTGGTGTGCCTGTTTATTTAAGAGCAATAATGCTCTGAAGCACAAATGCTCCAGCTCTACATAATCAAAGGGCATTTCTTGAAGGGTGAAGGGACTGTTGACTTCAGAAAGCCGAAATCCAATCAGTAATTGTTCAACTGTAGCAAAAGAGGCCGACAATGACCAGGAAAAGGGATTTTTTTTTTTGCGGCCACACCTCCCAAGACCAGCCACGTCTACTCCATTAGTTCTGGGAAAGTAAAATCCATTTCTGAGTTGGAACTTGTGCAGTTCAGTCTTGCCGGGATAGACTTAAAAGTTGTTCTGGGGTCTGCAGATCCCAAAGCAAGATAGGAGTTTTGAGTCAGGTACTCCAAAAAGTTTGCACCAAAGGCATTCGTTTTGCAATCCGTTCAGAGTCACCCTTTCACTCAGAAATGAGCCCATCTGATCAAATTCAGTGGAATAACCCAAACTACGTGAACACAGCTGCAATTTCAAAATGGCTTCTTAAGCAATTAAAATATATTCAATCTCCGGTAGTTGGTCCTCCACTTATAACCACAATTAGCCAGGGGAACAGCTGGTTGGAGTTTTCTGGATCTTTAACTGCATCTCCTTTTCAGAATGCTCGAAGACGAGAGACTTTTATTCAAGCCATACGAAGACGGTCTTGCTTTATTTATATTTTATTCCATACAAAAAAACAGCAACAATAGTAAAAAAAAAATTATATTAAGAATGAATAAAAATAACATTCCCAGGCTCCCTTCCAAGTTCACACAGCCCTGCAGAAAATTATTTACACGTTTATCGGTTTAAAACTCAGCGAGGTGTGCCAACCCAGAGGGGCCTTTAGTTCCCCCCGAAGAGGCCTGCTAATCCTGGGAAAAGGTTATTGCCAATTGTCTGGGAAGTCTGAAAGAAACATCAATTCAAAAAGCACCAATGCTCACTTTTAAAAATTAAGAGGACAGAGTGCAGAGCCCCCTCTTCCTGCCTACCTAGACTTGTGTCATGGTTAAGACATCAGCCAAGTGCTAAAACTATTTCCTTACTACAATGTCATATTTTTTTTTTTATAACTGCTAAAACTGTGGCAACGTTGCCCATCCTGGTTTTGTCTTAACTACAGGACAACCGCTTTCAAAGCAACCTGCGTTTCATACGCAGGCATATAAATTAGGCAGTCACATCAATTACCTAGGACTCCGTTTTTAGGCATTCAAAAAAAGGTCCAGAGAAACAGTGATTTTCACCTCAACGTTGCCACCGCTCTGGATGGCAACGCAGGAGAATTTCTTATTTCTGTCTGAATCTACTGGGGTTGCCCCTTCCTGAAAACGGAGCCTGCAGCAGGACGCTCGATTCTACCGGGGACACAAGCTTCATACCAGAAGGTGCCTCGAGCTGGACTTTGTCATCAAGCCGATGCTCAATCCTTCTCCTCGCTTTGGCTGGGGCCTGTGCAATTCACCTAGAACAAAAGGCTACCAAATTAACACACCGGGAACCTCATACGGGTTAACTTTACGCAAGAAACGGGTTGTCTTTATTGGGCACCACATCAAAAAGCATAGAATCCTAGGGCGCTGAGGGGCACTTTGGAGGTCTTCTAGACCAACTCCCTTGTCCATGGTAGGAGCCCTTATCCCATCCCAGACCAGTGAAAATGTGATAATACAGTTCTCAATACTCAGAAGTATAGGTAGTCCTCAACTTATGACCATTCAAATATACAACAGAACCCCCAAAGGGGACTTACCCCCCCAGGTTTCGAAGTTCTGACATCCACCACCACCCCTATCGTGGCCACGTGGCCCCATTTTGGGTGCTTGGCAACTGGCTCACATTTATGGCTGTTTGCAGGGTCCTGCAGCCACCTGACCATGGTTTATGGTTTTGCCAGAAGCCAACGTTTGCCCTTTTTCAGCAAAAACCACCCCATAGCGAACGATGAGCCTGTTTAACAGCCACGCAGTTTGCTTAACAACCAGGGCACTCGCTTTCACTACCACCACAGAAAAGGAGGTAAAATTAGGTCTGGCCCCATGCTGACCTGTTTTACGACCGTCCCAACCCACAACTGCAATGGGCAGGTTCAATTGCAGTCATAACTCAAGGACTGCCTGTAGTGAACAATCTACCCTCAAGAAACCACAATTATTCTCAATAAAACTGGACGCGACAAACACCCGGGTGGCCTTTGCCTGCCTAATCACCCCTGATCTTGCTTTCTATTCACACCCCGGGCTCATTCGCGTCCTATCCCTTTGGCTCAGGAGGTATCACCTCCCCTCCCGTTCATTTCCCCCCCAAAACCTACAGCCTCCTCCTGGTGAAAATATTTGAAACTTTACTCTGACCGCTGCAACGACATACATCGGTCAAGATTATTCCACCGGCTGAAGGGGTGTCACTGTGGCACATTCAGTCCAGCTTTCACGGCAGACGCCCACTAGGCTAAGTCCCCCTTCATTAAAGCCGTGACTGCGCTAAGGGCAGAAAGCATAAAGGAAGGGAAAAGGCAGCGGGCAAGATGGTTGGGAAATGAAGCAAAAGGGGAGGAAAACCAAGTTAGAGCAAGAAAAGAGAGGGATGGTAGAGGGAAAGGATAAAGGAAGTGGGGGATTTTTAGGATGGCCAAGGATAGACCTTTCTCCCACAGACACCACACAACTACCCATCTATGCCAACTGATACAATAGTACAACTTAAACCAAGCTTCAAATGACTTACATTGTTTTCTTGGGAACTTCCCTGCAACACCAAGGAATTACTTCCTACAGATTCTGTTTCCATATCACCAAGATCAACAGGGCTACTGCAAAATTAAAACATGGAATTAGCAAATTAGAAAACGTGTTTCTAATGTTGGGATAAAGAGACAATTTAGCTTAACCCATTTAGACCCAAATCTTTAGACCCAAAACCTGCCTCCCGATTCACCCAGTGACCTCAATATTTGCAGGGAAAATTAGGCAAATAGGAATTGAAGGTATAAATCACATGTATTTTCCAATGATTTCTAGCATTACATTTAAATAATTCAGAAAACTTTAATTGGTGATTTTTTTCTATTTTTACCAATGTAAAGATCCATTTGTATTTAGATAAGTAGATAGCAATATAAATAAAAATAATTCTGTTTTAAAACAACTGCACGTGCTCTCCTGCACCAACTATGTTCTGGAGGTGGCATACAATTCTGATAATCTGCTAGTACATCATGTTAAATTGTCTAGTTTTTTAAAGAAGTTTAAAAAAAGATAAGCAACAGTTAATAATCCTTGCATCAACATACTTAGCATTATAGCTCTGTGTATTTTGTAGGAAGCTACATGTAGTCCTCACATAACAATTGAGACTAGCAGCAGTCTTGCTAAGCCACGTGACCAGTGAGCAAAGCACCCCAGAATATGGCTGTTAAACAAATGCTGTCCTTAAGCGAGAAATCACGTGACCAAGAGTTTCCCTTTCACTGCCAGTTTCTCTATTGACTCCACTTATCACCAAAAAGTGGGCAAAAGGCAGTCACGTGACCTTGTGATGCTGCAACTATCACAAATGCCTGCTGGCTGCAAAGGGCCCAACTGTTGAATGAACACACACACACACACACACAGGGACAAAGTCAGAAGACCAGCCATAAAGTTACTTTTTCAGCACTCTTGTAACTGAACGATTGCTAAATGAGACAGTCATTAAGTGACTGTAACTATGGCTATTGAACCCAATTCTACAAAAAATGAATTATGCAGCCCTTAAGCTAAACTTTGCTTTGTAAGAAACAAGCCTGATAAATTTCAGAAACTTGCTGCTGCTGAATGATTCCTGAATAAAAATAACCCTCAACGTTTAAAGGCTTACCACACCAGAACAACTAGACACAAGAACAGTTTTTCCCCAAAAGGCATCACTCTGCTAAACAGTTCCCTCAACACTGTTCAACTATTTACAAAGCGTACACTACTATTACTGTTAATTTTCTCATCACTCCTTATCACACATCCCCTCCCTCTTGTGATTGTAGGACTGTAACTTTGTCGCTTGTATCCTTATGATTTATATTGACTGTTTCCTAGTAGGATTTGATTGCTGATTGTACCCGATGACTATAATTAAGTGTTGTACCTTATGATTCTCGATTCTTAATGAATGTATCTTTTCATTTATGTATACTGAGAGTATTTACACCAAGACAAATTCCTTGTGTGTGCAATCACACTTGGCCAATAAAGAAGTCTATTCTTCTATTCTACTTGTGCGCCTTAAGATAAACTGCTGCTACTTACAGTCCTTGGGCATCGGAGCCTTCTTCGTGGGGAGGGTCCCAAAAATGCAACGCAACTTTCCAAAGCCTGATCTGTTGATCCCAAGATCTCCGGCTGTACTTTTTAAATTTATTTGGAGTCCTTGGATGGACCCCTGGAACCCGTAGACACCTGGGAGAGAAACAGTTCGGCTACTTTTAGCATACCACCAACCTTCAGCAACTTAGCCCTGCAGCAGTTTCTGGATAAATAAATTTTTCCCAGAGCAAATAAAAGAGGCCTTCCGTTTGCAGGGTTGTTCAGAAATAGGACCGCTGGTCTTCCAACGAGCCTACGCCACCCTCCTCTCAGCAACGCCCTACTGCAGTTTACATTTGTTTCAATATTTACACAGAGGAATAATTTAGTGCAAGTTTGGCATCAGAGACCTTCAGCTTCTCAGAATATTCTGCCACAGCCTTCAACGTAGCCATTCGTGAGAACAGAAATGAGAAATTATAGTAGCAACTTAGTACAAAGTGGGTGAGCCAGAAATCGGTATGACCTTATGGCCAACTTTCCAGGGATAATTTTCCGACCTCTCATTTTATGGTTTTCCCTGTTGCTTCCGTTCCCCCATCAAAAGCAAGGATATGTTTCTTTCTTAGAAGTATAATTTATGTATCTGATTCAAGATGCTGGCTCATCTATAATGCTATAAAAGATTCCGGTGATTTATGAGACCCCAAAAAGTATGGGTACACCTTGGGAGGAAAAATTCATTTTCTTTACACCAAAACCTTAAGTTTGCCCCAATACTTGCAAATTATCCTTTGTACTGAGAAGGAATCTCCGCTTACCTAGGAACCTCTTGAATGTATCTGTCATATGCCAATGTATTCTTCCCATAATTGATTTGTTTCTGTCTCCTCATTAGAACAGCCTCGTCAGTCTCCAGTTCCACGGCTGCTGTGGATTCCTTTGAATCCGAACTGGAAAAATAGAAGTTTTATTTTTCAATCATTCCCGTTTCACAAGCCGAGATTTATTTATTTTATTTTTTTTGGGGGGGGGGGGATACTTTTAGTGCTATTCTGCCCTTATCATGGGAAATGTCTCCCCTTTTCTTCATTTCCCTCATAACCTCTCATTGCCATTCAGTTTTTAATATAGCCATGCTTCAATTATTCATTCTCACCAGCCTCCATTTCACAGATCATCCCTGGTAGATTTGCTATGAACAATGACATTTTTTTTACCTTCCAGTAGAGGTCTTCCTTTCTCTTCCAAACTCATTTATTAGAAGCTTTCTTTTGTATCTGTAAAACATTTTTTAATTAAGTTATTTCCAGTGCATGTATTGCTACAGTGCTGTTCTGCTACACCCTTGTTGGCATTTTATTATTTAACAAATATAACACTTAAAAATATTCTCACGTTAGATGGTAACTCTTTACTGCCCAGATTTTTCTGACCTACTGGATTTATGCACCAGAGCTAGGTTTTCTTAGAGCACATTCTCCAACTTAGTCTTACAGCATAAAATTGTTTTCTATTCTGAGCGCAAAAGTGGGTGCCCTATGAAAAGGGGTAATACCCTCCCTACTGTACTAGATCTCAAATAAATAAAGGTTTGTTTTTGACCTCAGGTAGGACAAATTGAATTTAAAGGAATTGCAGATCTGCTGTACCTTGCCATTTCTCTGTTGACGTTAGTCCTCATTTCATCTTCTTCAACTGCACTCCCCCAGTCTGAACATCTCGAATGGGGCTTGTGACCCTCTGGGGTTGTGAAACTGTGAACACCGAGTTGCAGGAAAACCAAAGTAGCAGCTTTGAATATTTAAAACACACAGCAGAGCGTACCCCATCTCAACTGCATCGCAGGTTAAGCCACACCATGCACTATGTATTACTGAACCCTCCTGTATCACAAAGTGCTTTTGAGTTACTCTATGCAGAACGGTGCTTATCCTGTTTGGGATACCACCGATATCCTACTTAAAAATACTGAGTACCGTGCTATATATTATTATACCAGGAACCAAACATTTTATGGCCACCTCTGCCTTAAGCAGAACTTACTGGGCTTAATAGTGAGGAACTATTTCTGTACACCCACCTCTCCGATCTGCCATCTGCCAGACTGTATGCATCATAATCAATGGTTGGGCCGCTGGGCTCGTGTGTATTCCTGTGCTTTCCGTCTGCATCGCGCTTCCTGCCTTGACTCCACGAAGAGGTTGATCTGCCAAGGGGCAGTGAAAAAGAAGAAACAACTCATTGGTCTTCCTAATTAGAAGCAAAGTTTCAGAAGCTCCACAGGTCAAGCCGGCCTGGGAATCGCCCATTTTGAATTGTTCCTAGCTCTTGAATGCAGGCAATCCTCGACTTAACGACCACAACTGAGCCCAGGCTTTTAAGTTGCTAAGGGAGACATTTGCTCAGTGAGTTTTGCCCCATTTCACCACTTTTCTTGCCACCTTTGTTAAGTGAATTCCTGCAGTTAAACTAGTAACACGGTTAAGTGAATCTGGCTTCCCCATTGGCCAGAAGGTTGCAAAAGAGGATCACGTGACCCTGGGATGCTGCAACCGTCATAAATATAAAGCCAGGCCTCCGAATATATATTGTGGGAGCATGAAGATGCTGCAAGGGTCTTAAATGTGGAAATATGGTTGTAAGCCACTATCTTCAGAGCCGTTCCAACTTTGAATGGTCACTCAATGAGCTGTTGTTAAGTCAAGGACTGCCTGTAGGGCAAGGGTCCTTTGGGACAACCATGAGCTGGATGACCGAGAATCTCCATAAATCCCATTCTGATGCTTCCTCTCTCTTAAGACAGACTCGAGATCTGTCAAATCTGTTTGATATAATATCATAGAGAGAAGTCAGAGGTTTGCTGGAGAGTTCAGACAAAGATAACTGGAGGTTTCCAAGATATTGAGGTTCCTTCCAACTCTGTGGTTGTTATTTAGGCAGGATAGAGGTTGGGATTGGGGGCATCACAAATCAGTTAAGGCAGTGGTGGCTAACCTTTTGGGGCTCCTGTGCCAAAAATTGTGTGTGCGCTCCCGTGCCAACACCCAGAAGGCAATGCACACGGCCCCCCTGCCCCCTGTGCATGCATGCATGATTCCCCACCCCACCCCCTTACCTGCACTGTGCCACCCGGCTGATTTTCAGCCCTTTGAGGCCTTTTTTGGCCTGCCAGAGGCTTGAGGGAAGCCTCTGCAGCCCGAAAAGTGGGCCTGTTTCATCACTTCCTGTATTTCCACAAATACCGGAAATGACGAAACAGGCCTATTTTTTGGCCTGCAAAGGCTGCAAAGTTTTCTCTCAAGCCTCTGGCAGGCCAAGGCCTCAAACGGGCTGAAAATCAGCCGGGAGGCGCACATATGCCCAGGTAAGTTTGCTTGGCGCTCGCGTGCCATAGGTTGACCATCATGGAGGTAAGGTTTCCATCAGCTGCATAGATTTGAAGATAATAGATGAACAGAGTTGGAAGGGACATTGTAGATCATCTAGTCCAACCCCCCCACCCCAAGCAGGAGACCCTTACCAAGGATCTTCAAACTTGACTGCTTTAAGACTTGTGGACTTCAACTCCCAGAATCCCTGAGCTAACATGATGGGAGGAGGAATTCTGGGAGTTGGAAGTCCACAAGTCTTAAAGCTGTCAAGTTTGGGGACCCCTGGTCTAGATATTTATATGATCTATGTCACTCATCCTCTGTCTGTCTATCATCCAGCTAGCCAGCCAGCCATACACCCTCTGTCTCTCTATCTATCTAGTTCTGTCTCTAGATTTTTATATAATCTATATCATCCATCTCTATCCATCCATCCATCCTATCAATCATCTTATTCCTTCCTCTCCCTTCCTTTCATCCAGCTAGCCCAACTTGGCAAGTTTAAGACTTGTGGACTTCAATTCCCAGAATTCCTGAGCTAACATGACTGGATGAGGAATTCTGGGAGTTGGAAGTCCACAAGTCTTAAAGCTGTCAAGTTTGGAGACCCCTGTTGTAGGGCACAGGGGTGGGAACAACAGAGCTCCATCCTGCTTAGAGGAGGACCTCTGGGACTGGACTTTTGGTCGCTGAGTGAGACGGTTGACAAGCCACTCGTCCCGTTCGTATCCAACTCTGTTGCAATCGCTAAGTGAATCACATGACCGACCATGACAACATGAAGCCAGCTTTCCCCCCAACTGCTTTGTCCTCAGGGCAGTTGCAACTTCAAACGGCCACTAAGCAAAGCGGCTGTAAGCCGAGGACTTCCTGTAATGAGGACTCTGGAGGGGAGGAAAAGCAGAAGTGGGAGGCCAAGAGAGTAAAAACGCATTTCCCACCAGCAATTCCTCCTCCTTTCCTTTCAGAGTCCGACCCTCTTTGTTTTTGTGAACGGCAGGGAGCTTAAAATAAATAACAAATAAATACATCCATTTTAAACACTTCCCTTCCCAAAGAAGGGCACCTCCGGCCTTTTCTTTCCCCCCCTCAGCACCGGCCTCCGTCCTTTGGACGAGGAATCAGATCTGACCGGGTTTTTCTATTGTTTTTTTACCTCACCTGACGGGTCTCCATTGTATCGACTGAGCAGCATTGTGTGGATACACGCGTCTGGGCATACACACGCGCACACGTAAAACCCAGGGCTTTATAGTTGGATTTAAAGCAGGCGATTGTCCAGGTTTTGGCATCCGAGACCCCCAACAACAACCACCGTGTGAGGAAGGGAAATCTCCCCCAAATTACCCGGAGGACCGAGACGTGTGTGTGAGGGGGGGGGGCTTCAACCCAAATGAGGCGCCTCAGCGCAGCCCAATATTGGCGGGAATGGCCTGAGGGGAGACTCCGGCCATCCCCGCCAATATTGGGCTGGGCTGAGGCGCCTCATTTGGGTCACAAAGCAGAAGGAGACGAGGAAGGAAAGGCCTATAAGAGCTCCTCAGGCCGTCGGCGGCTCCACGCGGCGGCCCTCCCGGCTCTCACCTGCTACGAGTCCGGCCGGCCAAGGGGCTTCGCTGGCGAAACGACATGACGAGAAGAAGAGCGAGACGGTCCCGACGACCTTTCCGCCGCTGTCGCCGACCTCGCAACTGAGGCGCGTCAGGTAGCGCCGCGCGCGCAAACCCAAGCGGGCGCTACCACCTCGGTAAAAAAAAGGGGGGGGAACCTTATAAGGGGAGCCTTTTCTCCCCACTTCTTCCTTTCAGAGCTCCGGGAAAGGAATACCCAGCCGCCGCCCGCGGATGAAATTTTCTTTCCTTCCGAGTTCTTATTCTGAGGTAGAAAGGGCTTCGGGGAAGCTTTTTTCCTTCTACCTTCAGAACAAGACTCCCCCCCTTGTAAGCGGCGTGGTCATGGTTTGCTCCGACGCGCGGAACCACGCCCCCTCTTTCTCCCGCCGCCCCCCCACCCTCTTTTGCCTGTTTGGGCGAGCGGCGCTTTGGCGGGAAAAGTTTGCAAGGCCGGAGGGGTCTTTGCGACAAAATGTTGCAGCGGTGGGCGCTTTTTTCTGGGCGGCTTTGCGGGGATTTCCACCCCGGCCCCGGCCCCGGCCCCGCTCGCTTGTTTTCCTCGGCTGAAGCTGCTTCCCGACGACGGATCTGTTGCTCGTTCATTATGGAGCAATTTTGCAATTTTTGTTTTGCTGTTTCCTAAAGCCCTTTGGGGAAGGGAATATATTCCTGCACGCTTTGGAATTCTGCCAGCTTGCTAATATTTAGTGCTTGCAAGAAAGCAGGGCTGTCCGAATAATTGCATAATAATTGGGTGGTCGCAGGCCAAGATGCTGCGGTAGTCATCATGTAGATAGGATATTGCAGCAGCAGAGATAAGAACAGGCTTCTTGGTAAGGGATAATGTAGAAGATAGTATTTTAAAAAAACATTCTAAAAGTCCTTCTGGTTTTTAAAATTGCCTTTATCGGATCAGTGCTTCCCCTGCTTTTAGCTAGAAACAGAAATCTAGCACATGCATTCTGTAAAGTCACCCTCTGGTCTTCTGTAGAAGTTCCTATATGCGTTGCCCAAATAGGACCTGTTTGCTCATATCTCATTAAAAGTTGTGTCTTTCTGCTACACTGCAGGACATTCCCCAAAATTACGGGCTGTGATATCCCAAAGGTACTTTCCCCCCCTCCAAAATGCAACTGGACTTTGTTTTTTTCCGCTGAAGATGTTTTTGCTTCTGTAGAAAGTCAACAGGCCACCCAGCCTCCTGGAGAATGAAACATTTTGGGGAATATTAAAAAGGCAGAATAGAATATTTCCCCTAAAGGAGAAATGGGCAGGGGGGGGGACCCTTAAGGGAAGCAGAAACCAGCCCCAGTCTCCCTGCCCCAAGCAGACAGAATCCTAACCCAACCTCCCAAAAGAGAAGCTGCGTAAGGACTTTATTTAGAGGAACCCAGATCAGCAGAAAAAGGAGTGGAGCATCTATAGGACACATTCCAACAAAATGGATACCCACTCAACTTTATCAAAAAATCCCTGATACCAAAAGGCCCAGCAACCCCAGAAAAATAAAAAAAACAGGAGTCATCTACAACACACAGTGTAACGGAATGCAGCAACCACTGCGTAGGACAAAGAGGCAGAAGACTGGCAGAAGGCATCCATGAATACCATCTGGCAGTCGGAAGGCATGAAAATTCGTTGATTTCACAACCTATAGTCAATTTGAACTCTAGTTTCAATTGGGAAAATGTGACACAATCCTAAACCAGGCCAAGTCCAAAAACACCAGGGAATTTAGACTATGCAAAAGAGACAATCAACCAGCCAAAAGGAGAATAAAGACTCCAGTATCTCTCTACCAGCAATCAGCAACCAAATCAGCATCTGTTAAACTCCAAGGTTAACATCAGACCAACAATCAAGTGAGCAACACCCCAATCGCTGGGATTCAAAAAATTTTTTACTACCTGTTCTGTGGGTGTCGCAGGGGAAGGGGACTGTAAAATCTCCAGTCAGAGGTGGGATTTGGCAGTTCTCCAAACGACTCAAAATTTCCACTACCAGTTCTCCAGAACTGGTCAGAACCTGCTGAATGCCACCTCTGACCCCGATGTAGAAACTGCCAAAGAGCCGTCAGTAAACAGCCCAACCAAAGAACCCTAAGACCACAGAGGCTAGCAAGACACTAGAATATAAACTGACAGCAAAAGGCACTCCTACAAGCACTGATGAGGTTACCTAGTTGGGTCATGAAATGTCTGCAAGAAAACAAACAAGCTCAGAGAGCATCAAGGAGCCCTCCCTTTAGTGTGTTATTGTGCCATGATGTGACATACTAGAGCAGGTTTCCCCAAACGTGGCAACTTTATAACTTGTGGACTTCAACTCCCAGAATTCTCCAGCCAGCATACAAGTCTTAAAGTCGCCAAGTTTGGAGGCCTCTGTACTAGAGCTTCGTAATATGAACTACTGTAATATAATATGAAAGATTATTCATCCCTGAATATCCCAGGCACCGTTCCTCATTTTTCAATATAATTTTTTTTGCAATTTTTATTTCAATATTTACAGTTCTAGAACTTGATCATAATAGTAATAACTGCAGAAAAAAGTTTGTTCAAGCTTTAAAAAGCGCCCTGCATTAATTTTCCTGCTTGCATTTCTTTATTCATTCATTTAAATGTTTGGGTCGCTTACGATTTATAAAATAATAAAAACGAATTAATAAACCAGCGTTCTAATCTGTGAACAGGACCATGCGCATGCGTGCAAAACGCACAAAGGATAAACATCAAACCGCTCGCCGCTTCCGGCCTTCCGCGTCCAACTGCGGGCGACGCCTCCTTGGCAAGCTCCTCCCTCCTCCGAGGGAGGTGGGTTTTTTTCGAGAAAGTCGATCGGCGCATGCGGCTTTCGTCACGCGTGACGTCGGTCATTCCAGGCTCGCCATTGGCGGAGAAGCGGCGACGTTTAAATTTGAACCGGGAGCTGGCGTTGTGAGGGTCGAGCGGCGGAGGCGGAGAGGGAGCCGGGCTGACACGCGTCTCCGGCCCATTCCCACGTTGGTGATTCCCACGTTGGTGGTTTGTCTTTCCCCCGTGTCCCCAGCTGAGCGCGGAGGGGCTGCGAGCCCGCTTCCTCAGGTGAGATCGTGGGAACGGCGGGAGCGGGGCTTGCGGGGAGGCGGCCCTGGACCCCGCCACCCCCCCCCCCGGCCCTTCCCCCCCCCCCCCGTCCGTCGCCCCGGCCCCGAGGCTGCCTGACAAGGGGGGCTCCCCCTTGGGAAGAGTCGTGGGGATCCTCCTGGTGGGAACAGACTGGGACTACCTAATTTAGTTTATTATTTTTATTTTTATATACTGTATAATAATATACGTGTGTATGTATATACATATATACGTGTGTGTATGTATATTTATACATATATATACACATGTATACACACACATATATATGTATATACATACACACATATACATACATATGTATATAGTGTGTGTGTGTATATACACACACACACACACACACACATATATATGTGAAAATATATATAATAGGTGTGTATGTATATGTATATAGTGTATATACAAATATATATTACATATGTATTACACACACACACACACACACACACACACACACACACACGTGTAGGCTTGGTGGGTGAGGCAGGGGAAAGTTTACTGCAAAATCCCTCCCACCCCAGTGTATGTATGTATATATGTTTCACATTTATGACGGAATCCCCTTTTGTGACCTTCTGACAAGCTTCTGGAGGAAGCCAGATTCTCTTAACCATGTTACTAATTTAATGACTGCAGGGATTCGCTTAACGGTGGCAGGAAAGTCATAAAAATGGGGCAAAACACATTTCACAAATTTTGAATTTGGAATTCTGCTATATGGTGCCGTGTTGGTGTGGTGTCCGGGGTTTCCAATTCAATGGGTGAAGGGTGAAGGATGTGTGTTTGTGTTTATTTTCATGGTCATGATGTGCATTGAAGTGCAATGACAATAAAATAAACTAAAAAGTTTCACTCAGCAACATACATTTGGGGCTCAGTTGTGGTTGTAGGTTGAGGGCCGCCTGTACAGCAACAATGAATGTTTGCAGCTCTTTAAAAAAATGGCCACCTCCTGCCCGACAAAAATATTGCAAAGTATTTATAAATATCAAAATACTCATAATTTATATATTTATAAGTTTGTGATATAGAGGTCCTTCCTGCTCTCTGAGCTTGGTTGTTTTCTTGCAGGTGTTTTCATTATCCAAACTAGGTAACATCATCAGGGCTAAATGTATAATTATGACAATTATTGTTACCTTGAGTTCAGGGACTTACAGAGTCGTAAAAGGGGAGTATTGTTGCCAATAATTTTCTTCTTCCTGACCACGGAATGTATTCTTCTCCAGAAAAATGCCCTTAGAAAAGAGTTCGGCTCAAACTAGAATTTGCTGTCTTCAGTTCTTTGTTTTAAAGAAGTTTTAGAGAAAAATGCTCTGTCCTGACTCCTGATGGGGAAAGCTTATTAATGCTGCCGTTTTTGCAAATCTGAAGGGGGCAATGCAGGCTTTTCATGCCTGCTCTTGAGTCTGGTTTCAAAGCTGCTGCCAGCGGGTGAATTCATGTAAAGACATGAGGAAGCTCTCTCCAGAGGTTTTTGCCTTCCGATGCTACTATCCTGGACAGGCTGAATTACGAATTTGGGGGGTCTGGAATCCATCTGCTATCTTGAAGCAAAATTCGCAGATAATCTGCTTTACATGTGTCGGACGTTAGAACCCGCCCCTCTCCTAGAGAAATGAAATATTTTAGGATATACTAAAAAGACAGAATATTTCCCCTAAAAGAGAAGTAGAAACTCAGAGGGGCAGAAACTCAGCACACACACACACCCAACCCCTTTGTTAATGGGCCAGTAAGGCCTGTGCCAGTCTATTCTACATAACAAAGATCTACTCCAGGTAGAGCCATAATAGGAATTGCCCAAAGCCATTTCATTGTATCATCATCATCATCCGGCAAGACTCAACCCAGCCTGGGACTCAAAAGGCAGCCTGCAAAGTTACCCCTGCATGGCCCCAATCAGAATACAAGCTCAAATCCCAACCGAGGGCATAAAACCCAGCATCGCTCTCCGCAT